GGGGGGTGAATAGAGTTGTTTTCAAGAATGTGCGTTTTTCGCGTAAAAAAAAAATTATCGCAGGAATAAGTAAAGAGAGTAAGGGAAAGAAGAACACCGGGATTTATACTGGTTCACCACCTCGTGGCTAGTCCAGTCCTCCGAGAGACTCTCTCGAAAGTCCTACTAATCTTCAAGCTTCAACGGGTGCTTGAAAAACCGGTACAACTTGAGAACTTGAATCACACAAGCCTCACTTTCTTACAACAACAAGACTTGAGTCACACAAGTCTTTTGAACAACACTCAAATGAGATTGAGTTTACAACACAAGAATGAATGCTCACACAATTGAGCAAAGTAGTGTTTGAAAGATTTAAGCTCTATGGATGACAACTTCTATAGCACTCAGAAAAATATTTCTAACTCTCAAAAATAATATTTTGATGAGGAAGATGAAGCAAAGGATGAATAGCTCAAAGAAATATATTGGAGTGCAAGAGGTGTGTTTTTAAATGAAGGAGAATGAGGGATTAAATAGGCTGAGGAAAATAAAGCCGTTGAGGAAGGCTGATGATATGCACCAGACAGAATTAATCGATTAATTTTGACAAAGTAATCGATTAGATGGCGCTGTCTCAACTAATCTCTTAAATGAAGAAGATTAATCGATTAATTTAAGAAAAAGGTTTCAGCGAGAAATGCAATCTTAATCGATTAATTTTGAAGGAAAAATCGATTATTCTGCGCTGTGAGAATTAATCGATTAAAAGAGTAAGAAAAATCGATTAATAATGAAGGCTTGAGAAATCCAGCGCTGTGAAATTGGATCTAATCGATTATTTTTAGAATAATTAATCGATTAAAGTAAAAATAATGCGCAAACATAAAGGGCCCAAGCCAAGCGCGATTGGAAGTCCTTTGGCTTCTAACTGGTTGTTTGAGACAGCAAGAATAATGAAACGCTTCTCAAAGAAAAAGTATCCCTTATTCAATGAATTTGAATAGGGGAGAAAAGGTGAGTCCAAAAATTATTTTGTGTGTCAAACGATGTATACGAAAAATATTTAAAGTATATTTTTCTTACCAAAAAAAATGTGTAATCTTTAAAAAGAATTTTTTTAAGAAATTTTGACACACTTATTTTGAAACTGACTCAATAAAAAAATATTTTAGACAGAGGAAAAGTAATTTTTCAACTGACTCAAAAATAATAGTAATTTTTTTATCCCTCAGAAAATAAATTGTTTTGTGCAGAAGATATTGTCATCCTTACAAGAATCCTAGGCTCAATAAAAATTAAAAAGTCTTCGGAGTCTTCACTTTACTTCAAAAATCTGCGTAGGGGTGAGCGTTGAATTTTATCCCGTAATTTTCTTGATACGCCTCTTTTCTTTTCTCGGTACGAAAAGTCAATTTTCGATCATCAGTTGAATTTCATCATCCTGTTTGTCATTTATCAAAACAAGAAAATATTCCAAAAAAATAATAAAGGGGTTTGAACTCATGTCCAACAATTTGAAGCTTAAACAAATAAATATTTATTACAATAATAAAAATCTTACAAAATGGAAGATGTGTTCTTGAGCTCCAACTAAAATTGATGGTGTTGATGATGATGAAGATGGATTAATTTTTATGTGTTTGGAAGAAGAAAGTGGTGAGATATTAGTGATGGAGGAGGAGAATTTCGGACTATAGAGAAGGAAGAAAATGGGGGTTCCAACCTCCTAAGAGAAGAGAGGAGATGTGATTTTATAGATAAAATCGTATATACGGAGTATATACAAACAGTAGCATAATTGGTCAAAACAACTCTTGTAGCTCACATGGAAACGCAGCTGGATGTTGGCAGCGTGATGCTGGGTTCGAATCTTCCCACCGTCTCCTATTTTGTCATTTTCTCCCAATTCATGAGCCGAATATTAAGACAGATATGATTCGCGCTCTGTCATTGAAATGCTGAACGGTCAGTTGTGGTGCAATGGTCAGAGTTTCAAATCCCTGCCCTCAAGTCTTGAGTTCGAATCCTTGCTCCTTTTTTCCTTATTCTTTATTTGTTTTCTTCTTTTCTTCAATTCTCTTCAATTTATTTTGGTCCCAAACTTTCATGTTTATTTTCCGTTCTTGAAATTGTTCTCAATGCGTCCAAATGGCCTCAAAATACCTGCAAAACATATAAAACCAAGCATAGGAGCGCTCTACACAAATAAAACGGAAAATTGAAATAAAATATAAACATTAAATTCAATTGGGACTCAAAACTCCTTCAAAATATGCTTAAAAAGTGTATAAAATATGTGCATATCAACTCTCCCACACTTAGGCTTTTGCTTGTCCTCAAGCAAAATAAACTACAAATACAATCTTTACATGTGTTGTTAGAATTTACATACATAATTTTACAAATCACACAATCATCTCTTTTGTCCACCAAACTATCCAAAACCCATGAATTGTCACAAAATAATAAAATGAGAGTAACTTGAGTAATATTGCCTATCCTAGAAACTTTCATGTTAATAA